TTCACGTATAATTGACAAGTTAATTAGATATATGACAAGTTTTTTTTTTTTTTTTTGGTTACATTAAATATTCATAGCTGCTAAGGTGGCATTAAAGGGACACGCTAAGTTAGGAAATGCCAATTTTTCTTTGAATACATTAAGGCAGAATAATGGCAAATAAATATATATTGGATGAATATATATATACACATACACTGATTTTTTAAAAAAAACATATTATAAAAAGACAGTCCCATTCAAATGCCCTCAGTTTTCAACAAATGCACAGGAACAGTTTGGGCATTTTTCATGTCCACCACTTTTCTTTTTCACGTTTAGGTTGCACTATGCACACTTAAATTGAGTTTGTACTTGAAGGATCTTGTTTCAGGTAGGCACTAGCCCAGTGTGGTTCCTGAGGTAACCACTCCTCCTCTGAGGAAAACAAAATGACAGTGAAAAGGGTCAGACAGAGTTAGAAAATATGACAGTTATTGGGTCAGACGGTGTTTGAAGGTAACAAGGTATTAAGGGTTTAAACTGGTGTTCTGGGGTGGGGGGGAATAAAACAGTCAAACTAAGTCCATAAAACAGGGGTTTTCTTCACACACCCCAAGGGCCATAGTCACAGGACAGGAGGCTGGCAAGCAGGCCTCCCCAAAACACAGAGGCGAGGTTACTTTCGCCACAGTGCCTACCCTCTCTGGTATCATTGAGAGGACTCTAGATAGAGGTTGTCTCCTATCTCAGGATCACTCTATTCTATTGACTTGTGGTTAACTTCTGATCTTGCACTTTGAGCTTGGCTACATTGATAGGAGTTGTTTTTTTCCATTCTATACCTGGAAATGTCTGTCCACAAGAGATAAGAATTTTACCTGGCTCTAAGACACTTTTTATACCCTGTACAAGTGGTTTAGTAGCTCAATCTTTTGGATATTAATAAATGTTGGGTTTTACTTTGTTTGGCTATTTATCCATTAGACTGTACTCTTCCCCACTTACCCCCTCATAGGAGTAGGTGACAGGGATCTTGTCTTTTAATCATTTGCACAGGAACAGTTGTTTCTGTATTGATGTCTGCAAAGACCAGGAAATTGCAACCAGTCCTCTTTCTTTCACTGGGAGCCAATGCGCTACAGGAAATTATGAATATGTATAGCTCTCAAAGCATTCAACCAAGAAGTATATGGGAACAGTACGGAGAACTCTAGATCCTCTCATACAGTAGGAGGAAGACCACGTTTTCTGGGTGCAGATTTAAGGTGCAATGCAGGAACAAGCACTACTGGACAGTAGGTACACAGAGTAGTATTTTATTCAGCTCCAACAGAATCAAGAAGAATGCAACTGGTTAACTGAAACTAAACTTAAAATGGCCCCTAACAATAGAGTTCCCCCCCCAAACAGTTCTTCCAGAGTAACAGCATACTACACTCTACACCATGGAATATGGAAAATGACATGTCCAATTTGATTATGACCTGTAACTTTCTCCATAAAAATGGTATGCCCCAAAAGGCACAAAGACAAGGAAATTAATACATATTTAAAAAGCCAGGAAAATGTTGTACAAATGCACATTTAGCCTGCTAACTCAGACAAAGGTCTTCCTTAGAATAACTGCCTGTATACCATAGAAAAACAATGTAATAGGTAAAGGGACATGATAAAAAGGGGGAACAAACATTAGGTAATCCCAAATTGGTTAAAAAAAAAAAAAAAAGAAAAATCAAAAGAAATCTGTAAGATTCAATAAATAAAACCACTTGTTTGAGAGGCATACCTAACATTAATCAGAAATGCCAGTATATTATACTGCCATAAGAGCTATTCATTTAATTTGGATTGTGGGTCACCTTGCGAATACCTTAAGTTTGCAAACGTGCCTGCAAAGTCAACAACAAAATGCATACATTTTTAAGCTTTTCCCCAATATTTTACTTTTCATTTAAAAGGTTTTAGGCACGGGGCTATGAATAGATATGCTTCGCCTCTACTAATCCAACCTTGAGCGAATTCCAGGTCCATTTTCTTGGGAGATAAGTAAGAGCAGCAGACTGACTTTCTGGTGAGCTTCCAACAATGGCATGACAGACTTAGTAAGACAGAATGTCAGCTAGCCAAGATTGCCCTGGATTTGGATCAAGAAGCTGACTATGATGCTTTTATTATTTGCTACCAATAAAGACACTTATTATTTTAAATTAAACTCTCTTCTGCAATTTAATTGGAATTTATCTAATGGAGGGCTAGGATTTAATCCAGTCTCATGAGAAGGAAACTGAAGACATGCAGAGCTTGGAGGAGTGTAACAGATATGTGCACAGAACAATCAGCATTGCCCAAAGCCAAGAACTAAAAATCTGAGCCATAGGGAATTTGAAGCCCAAGTGCATAGGCTCTGAGTAAAAAGAATATCATTTAGTGTTAGAAGATTTTGGAAAAAGTGGTAAGCATGGCAAATAAACTAGTGTGCTGAAATAGAATCGCTAACTGTCCAGAATCATTAGATTCCAGTCAGTGCATATCTTGTGATACATGGCGATTTTGTGATGTATTATTCACACTAACATTTTATTTTACTTAATATTGGCAGGAAGATTACACAGATTATGAGAAACAATCATTAGCCACCCAGTGGTACCCATATGTGACAAGAGAAGCAATTTTTTTAGTATAGTTACTGCATTTTGCTTAACCTAGTAACTGGGAAAAACTCTTAAACTAAGAGTGTCAAGCCATTACTATCACGGTCGTTTGATAACCGAACACGCAGTATGTAAACACACAGAAAACCACGTATTATCGAATCTTAGAATGGTCGGATTTAACCTAGGTAGAAAAGAGAAGTCAGAGGATTGCCAAAAATCAGAATACCAGAGATACAAGAATAGCTGGGTCAAGATACCAGAAATCAGGAGGCCAAAGTACAAGCCGAGTCAGGGAACCAGAAAACAGGAACGTCAAAAGCCAAGCTGGGTCAGTACACAGAAACAACAGTAAATACGCAAGGAGAATCAAAGAGCACTAAGGGGAACACAAAGAACCACAATAGGGCAAGGAACAAGGCAAAAGGCGCCCCTTTTAGAAGGGAGCATCTTTTGCTTTAAGGCTGCGTCCCCCAAATGTTCTGGGCCGGTATTAACGAAGCGGGAGCGCATCAATGACGTTGGCACGCATGCGTCATAAAAAGGGGCGTGACTCCAGCGTCCAGCGTGGGACATGCTGAACTCGTCGGAAGAGGAGTCTGCTCTGGATCGCGCACCACGTGGATGCGATGGAATAAGGTAAGAGATCGTGACAATTACTAGATTCATCTTAACAAGTAGGAATGCCCAAAAAACAGTTTTAAGTTATTTGTGATCTCAGTTCAAAGTAGTACCCATATATATATATATATATATATATATATATATATATATATATATATAAGATTTAGGTAAACTTCTTGTTAATAAAATCCAGTGTTGTATGTTACTCTAGTGAAGAAGTAAAGAATTAAAGAAAAAAAAATAACTAATATATATTCTTAAGTTTTTTTTTTCTAATGATGGCAGAACACATGGTTTAAGCGATATGGTCAAAGGGATATTGGTGTTTTGAAAAAAAAAAGACAATTTTTTTCTGAATGTTGCTCATTGTATGTATAAATATTCACATTCTTCGATCTGACCAGCTATTCTGGTCTTTCTATCAGTACTTGGATGGTTCAGTCTGAGTAGTTAATGTTATTTACATAGTTACATAGCTGAAAAGAGACTTGTATCCATCAAGTTCAGCCTTCCTCACATATGTTTTTGCTGTTGATCCAAAAGAAGGCAAAAAACCTAGTCTGAAGCGCTTCCAATTTTGCAACAAACTAGGAAAAAATTCCTTCTTGACCCCAAAATAGCAGTCAGATGTCTCCTTGGATCAAGCAGCTATTACCCCACTAATTAGAAATTATATCCCTGTATGTTATGTTTTTGCAGGTATTTATCCAATTGCAGCTTAAACATCTGTATAGACTGACAAAACCACCTCTTCAGGCAGAGAATCCCATATCCTTATTGCTCTTACTGTAAAAAAAAAACCAAAAAAAACTTTTCTTTGCCTTAGATGAAATCTCCTTTCTTCCAGCCTAAAAGTGTGACCTTGTGTCCTATGTATAGCCCTGTTTATGAATAGATTTCCAGATAATGGTTTGTACTGGCCCCGGATATATTTGTATAATGTTATCATATCCCCTCTCAGGGGCCGTTTTTCCAAACTAAACAGATTTAAATTTTAATTTTTTTTTAAATTCTTTATTTTTGTTGTGCATTTAGTAGCATACATTTTAACTTGTAGTGCCACGTCAGCAACGACAAGCGTAGTAATACAAACAGTTGATTCTGTACATGGCATGCGATAATTCTGCACATTTTTAAGTATACAGTGAACAGGCTAGACAAACATATCTAGGTCAGATTGCTAATAAGAGATAGGTGCCAATTCTAGATCGACATGTGAAGATTAAATATACAGTTAATGATCAAGCTTTTTATGTCGTGAGATTTACATTTTTTAACCTTTCTTCGTAACTAAAATGCTCCATTCCTTTTATCAATTTTGTAGCTCATCTCTGCACTTTTTCTAGTGCAATGGTATCTTTCTTTAGAACAGTTGCCCAAAATTGCACAGCATATTCAAGGTGTGGTCTTACCAGCGATTTATAAAGAGGCAAAATTATATTTTACAAAACCTTACTGGCCTTAGCAACTGCAGATTGACATTGCATATTGCTGCCTAATTTGTTATCTATAACAATTCCCAAATCCTTCTTGTGTGTGGTTATTCCTAATTCACTACCATTTAGGGTGTAAATTGCTTGTGCATTCTTAACCCCGAAGTGCATAACTTTGCATGTCTCTATGTTAAATTTAATCTGCCATTTTAGTGCCCAGTCCCCCAATTAGTGATGTCCCGAACGGTTTGCCGAACGGTTCGCCGCGGACTCATCATTGAGTAAACTTTGACCCTGTACTCACAGTCAGCAGACACATTCCAGCCAATCAGCAACAGACCCTCCCTCCCAGACCCTCCCACCTCCTGGACAGCTCACTAAGAATGCAGCTTCACAATGAATGTAAAATGGATGCTGTCCAGGAGGTGGGAGGGTCTGGGAGGGAGGGTCTGCTGCTGATTGGCTGGAATGTGTCTGCTGACTGAGGTACAGGGTCAAAGTTTACTCAATGATGAGTCCGTGGCGAACCGTTTGGCGAACCGTTCGGGACATCACTACCCCCAATCTATCCAAATCCCTCTGCAGCAAAGCAATATCCTGCTCACATTTTATTACTTTACAAAGTTTTGTGTCATCTGCAAACACTGATACATGGCTTTCAATGCCTATTTCAATGCACCTTGTCTCCAGTTAACCAATCATAAGTTATCTGCAAGTTTTTTGCAGCAAACATTTGCATAACTCTTGCCATAGGATCCTCATTAATATATACTGAAGAAAAATTGTTATTTAAAATTTATTTTTCCTGGTCTTCATTAGCTAACAAACCCATCTCTGTTTCCAGTGTACCTACACTTCCATTTTTTGTTTTTTTTAGAATTGATGTACTTGAAAATATTTTTGGGGTTGGTTTTGCTTTCTTTGGCTATCAATTTCTCATTTTCTAGTTTAGCCACTTTAATTGCCTTTTTGCAAGCATTATTGGCTACCTTATATCTAATATAGAATGCCTCTGATTTGTCCGATTTAAATGCTTTAAATGCCCTTTTCTTATTTTTAATCTCTTGTTTTACTTCTCTACTAAGCCACATTGGTTTTAATTTGTTTCTTTTATATTCATTACTGTAACGGACCGTTAAGCATAAAAGGGGTTAAAAACCGTTTAGGCGATATCTCCCTTCCAGATACACAGGCAGCTACTGCAAGCACCAATCTCCCGAACAGGAAACACACAAATTCCCCAACTCCCGAACTGGAACCATACAAATGCTGTAAACAGCTGAACAGGAAAAACCATACGAACAGTTTACACTCCTGGCAGTCGAACTGTAACAGCATACAATCATCCCCCTAAGAATGAGACAACACTTCGTTTGAAGGTCAAGCAGAACTGATTTACTGGGGCTACCTGCCCGGCTTTTATGCAGGTCTTCCACATGGTGGACACTCCCCTAGGGGACCAGATGGAAGACTGAGACACAAAGTATACACTGACCAATCACGGACGTACATCTTTAAACACTCCCACGATTACATCACAACCCCTCCTCTCTATCCTGGAGATAATTGGGAAGTAATCCATTTATCTCCCAGGAGAGAGGCAAAACTTCATTACACACATGGTAGCAAAAAGACAATAAAATACACAATGTTACGTAAAACATATACAGTCAACATATCCCCAGATAGCTTAGATCTGAGCGCACATTATAACCGAATGGCGCTCAGATCCCATACATACAGTTCAATCGCCATGGAGCCAAAGTCTTTCCCATAGTCTTTCGGTATACAAATGGGCTCCATGGCTTAGTTATCTAGGGTAGCGCTGTACACACATTAAAACCCTGAATGGACCGGTGTTCGGTTAAATGACCGAAGGCAGGAGAAGGGAGGTCAGCGGCTCAGCGGTGTTCACGCAAATAAGTTTACATTTTCAGTTCCATAGTTTTGTAGCTGAACACCGCTGGCCGTTCGGGACTTTAAGATGGCCGATGCCACGTGTTCCACGTGTCCCTTTTCTCTCTTTTTCTCTCTTTTTTAATTGTGTATGTTTAAATGGACTCGTAATGTGAGTGATGGGAGTGACACTCCTCTGGACTATTGGTGTGTCCGTGTGTCATTCACACCCCCTTCGGTGTCACGTGATCGGAAGTTATATCACGTGACCGGAATTACACGAAACCGGAAGTGAGGATCTGCAACCACATGGAAATGACGCGCGGCCATCTTGGGAAGGTCGCGCATATCTATATGGATAACACTATGCGGCGGCCATCTTGGAGGAGGCATACACACTCGTTTTCGTGCCGGAAACATTCCGAAGATAGGATGGACTCTACAGCTGCTAATATTTTACTAGTAATTATATTTATTGTATATGGTATATAAGAATGTTGTTTGGATGTTTGTTTTATGCTTTGCACCTGAGGAAGACCTATTGCATTAGGTCGAAACGCGTTGTGCTATATTTTTATTATTTTCCAATTAAAGTACTTACCTTTTATTCATCTGGTGATCCTGGTTCCTGATTTTCTGCATAAAGAAGACTGCTTGATGTCTTTCTAAGGGACCTACATTGCATAATCTACACCAGGCTGATAAATCTGCTTAAAAAGTTTAGAGCCAACTCAGAAAGGCTCTAAATATTGTGAGTTTTTCCAAGTATTCCTTATATTTTATTTTATTTTAAGACATATTGCCCTATGATGGTTTTTTATGTTTACAGAACCTAGGGACTCCATTTTAATCAAGGATATCATTCATTGTGTGCGCAACCACCGTCTTCTTTTATTTTATACGTGTTCAGTTATACTAACAGAGACCACCCAGCGTTCACCAATTAATCTGCGGTTAACCGCAGCTTCTGGGAGGTAAATCCCTGGCACACTCCTTGCCCAGGTGGTCCCTTCATTCGTGCTCTGGTTCGGTAGATTCAGTCTTCTGAAAGCCCAGGCAGAAAGGCACGAACAAGCCTTTCTGCAGGGAAAATAAAAGGGTTTTAAATGTGGGGCCATAGTCCAAAGGCAGCAGGCGAGCAACCAGGTTTCTCCAGTGCTTCGTGGCGAGGTTGGTTCCGCCACAATTACCCAATGGTACATACTGAGAAATGTACCTTTCTAATATTTGTTTGAATAGTTTCCATTTATCCTCAGTGTTTTTATCACTAAGGAGTTTATGCCAGTTGATATGTTGTAGAGCTGCCCTAATCTTATTGAAATTGGCTTTTTTAAAATTATACATTTTAGTATTCCCCATGTGCTTTTGTTTTTTTGAGTTTATTTTAAAAATTACCATATTGTGATCACTATTTCCCAAATGCTCCCCTACTTGAATGTTGGTTAAAAGATCAACATTGTTTGTTATAACGAGATCCAGACAAGCATCCTTTCTAGTTTGTGCTTGTATCAGTTGTGACATAAAGGTGTCATTTAACACATTTAAAAACCTGATTCCTTAAAAACCTGTTTAGCTGAAATCCATCACGACTATAGAGGTTGTACCCAAGTGCAAAATCGTGCTCTAAAAACCCAAAACCCTCTTTCCTGAACCAAGACTTCTGCCACGCTGTTGTGGATATGAAATTCCCTTCTTTCCTGCAATTGATTTTTAAACGTGGAACACTCTCTTAATTAGACATAGATGTTTTCCTTTTTTTACCAAATACAATATCAAATACAACAAAATAGCTGCTTTCTGTTGGTCTTCAGCATCTCTCTTAAATTTTATGACCGTTAAAATCACATAAGCAAAATGAAATAATGATATCATTTTCAATGATATTGCTGGATAATGTAATTAATTTTAAATACCACAGACAGAAATCTTTTTGCCACTTCTTATATAATCTCAAAAACCATATGGAGTGTGTGAAGTCTTTTGTTGTGAAGTAGAAATTCATATTGATCTTCCCTATTTATAATTCTCTGTGTTCTAAGAGATTATATTTTACTATTTTTTTAATACACAGTTTCACATTCTTTCTATAGCTGGATATAGGAAGAGGGATGTCAAATGCAACCTTTCAAAGATGCTGACTATTATTTACAAAAACACAACAAAATATTGCAGAACCCTGCAGTTACCTATATAACATTTAACTGTTTTACTCGTAAAAGAATATGACGGCAGATAAGAACCATTCAGCCCATGTAGTCTGCCCAATGTTAACAAATTAATAAGGACACCAACAATAATAATAATAATAAAAAAAAAAAAAAACAACCTTTTGTTTTGTAGGTTTTTATAGGTAACAAAAAATAACGAATACAAATGAACTAGATACAAAAAATAGTGCAAAAGGAGCCAATCCTAGAACAAGTCATTTTGACCCAGACTGCATGGCTAATTACAGACCAGTATCCAACCTTCTATTTCTGGTGGAAATAATTTAAAAAGTAGTGGCAACTCAACTGGAGGCCCATCTATCAAGCTTGAACATCTTTGATCCTTTCCAGTCAGCCTTCAAATGCATCCACACCATGGAAATAGAGCTAGTCCGAGTGCTAAATGATCTTCTTATGGCAAGAGACAAAGGTGATTGCTCCATTCTAATCCTCCTGATTCTCTCAACTGCATTTGACACCATTCATCATAGGATATTCATAGAGTGCTTGCAGCACATCTGTGGTCCAGGAGGCACAGTCCTTAACTGGTTTAAATCTTTGCTCACTGGTAGATGACAGAGAGTAACATCAGGATTAAGCTCATCGGCACCAACAGCATTGGCCTGCGGGGTTACACAAGGATCCATCTGGTCTCCCATGCTATTTTGCAATTTACTTGCTACCACTGGGGGATATCATTAGGCGCCATGGCCTAAGGTATTATTGTTACGCTGATGACACACAACTCCACTTCTCCTTTGCTCCAGATACTACAGACCTAACATGCCGCATCAACAGTTGCTTAGCATACCTCATAGAATGGATGAATGCTAACTGGCTTAAGCAAACAAAACAGAATTGTTCTTGGTGAGGGTACCCAGGGCAATAAAAAATACCCCATGATCCACCAACTGGCCTGGAGCTTGGAGGCTCTGAACTCGTTAGTTCATCAAAGGTATGAAACCTCGGAGTGCTGATTGACTTTTGGTTATCATTAAAACAGCAGATTTCCTCCGTAATAAATTCTGCCTACTTTTGAAAAACATAGCCAGGATACAACACTTAATTCCACCGGATGATATGTCAACATTAATACATGCATTTGTATCCTCCTAGAAAAATAACTCCATTGTCTTCAGACAGTACAAAATGCAAAAAAAAAAAAAAAAACTTGCTCCTGCCACATAACACCGGTTCTCCACTCCCTGCATTGGCTTCCAATTAAATAGTGCACATATTTTAAAATTGGCCTGCTAACCTTCAAAGACTTAAACAATCAAGGCTACAGAACCTGAAAGAGCTCCTGACACCATACATTCAATCCAGTTCACTTCGGTCAGCCAACAAATCCCTACTGTCAGTGCCAAGGATAAAG